CTCAACAAACAGCCTTATTCCAGCTATGTCCGCTGCGGCCGAACGCGTCGTGAACTTGCTTTGCTAGCCTTTATATTCCTTCGCGGATCACCGCCACAACTAGCTAGGGCAATTATACTCATCAGTTGTAATCAAATTCCAGATGTATCGTACTACTTTCATCCCAAAAAAATAAATTACATTTACGAAAAAAATTGTTACTTTTAACTCTAAGTACTGTCTCTAACTTGTAAGTAATGTTAGTCGCAATACCAAATATCTTTCTCAAAGAAAAATTTGACCCTTTTGCTGGTTGCAATTTCGACAAATAGATGAAAATGCTTACTCATCAATAGAACTCAAAACTTCATTTTATCACAATTGTTGATCAATTGAGAGTTGAATTACATTTTCATTAACGTGAGAAAACTCTGAAGTTATTAATAAGTCGATTTTGAGACACCCAAATATAATTTAAATAAAATTATTAAATTATACTTCATTCCAAATAATTCTCTGGAAGCGTCCCTTTGATTCTTCTTGATCAACCCCCTGACCACACCCACACTTGACACTTGGTAAGGGGAAACCTCGAAACGTGGCAACTACTCTGAATATTATTGGTGATTTTGATCCAATACAATAGTTTGGACCTGTTCTTTTCACTTCACTCCTTTTTCCCTTTATTATGCCCATAACTCAACTGCATACACTCGTACCCAGAAATTTGCCCTTTTTAATACCTTTTTTTTTTCTCTTTTCTTTTTATCCACTTTCTGTTGCTCCTAATTAATCTTTTTTTTTTTCCAAATGTCCCTAGCCCTAAGATGTCAATATCATCAAACGTTTCATTATTTATGTTACTCTTTCGTTCTAAAAAAAAAAAATCATATTGAATTTTGAAATTATATTATTTTATAAATTTTAAAATTTAATGTGCACTATGTTATTAGAACAGAGAAAATATTATTTTGCTAATTTACAATTAAAAAAACAGAAAATCTAACATCGCAAATTAGAGAAAACGAATTCATGCATACATGTTCAAGGTCTCAATAAGTTACAATTAATTAACAAATACAACTCCTCCGTCAAATATTGGAACTTTGGGTGGGAATTAAATCCGGAATTCTTTCCTCCATAACGTATATGTCATGCAAACAGCTTTTGACATCAACTAATTTTTCGTATTTTTCTCGAAACTTGGAGTCAAGTAGTCAACGTTATTAATAAACCCAACATTTCTCCATCCAATTAATAATAATGAATTAATAAGGTGACATACCTAAATTACATGAGCAAGCATGCAACCAATGATAGCTAGCTTTGATTGATATTGTTTAGTTCCATGAAATAATTAGTCCAAAGTAGGTATTATAAAAATATCTTAGCTGTTTAGAGAAAGGGGGGGTCCCACTAAAGGACCTTTCTCCCCCAGTTTCAAGCTGTTTGGATTTGATCATATTTTTATGCCTATATAAGGAGATGTGTAACTGAGCTTTTGTAAGGAAGAGAAAAGTTCTCAAGACAAAGCAAAAAAAAAAGGCTTCAAACTGCAGCTTTAGAAGTATAGTCGAGGAAGCCAACTCCCCCCCACCCCTTTTGATCCCTATTAAGAAAGGTATCATTTTCTTCTTGGAGGGAAGCTTTCTTCAAAAACACCAAGAAAAGGCAGATAAGGGCCATTTCCAATTTTCTCTGTTTTTCTCTTTTTCCCTTGAAAATTTTCAATTCAGAGAGCAAAAAAAAAATATGGGTGTTTCTGGAACTTTAGAGTACATATCTGACTTGGTGAGCAGCAACAGCAAACACAAGAAGAAGAAACAATACCAAACTGTTGAGCTCAAAGTCAGAATGGATTGTGATGGATGTGAACTCAAAGTCAAGAACGTTCTCTCTTCACTAAAGGGTACATTTCCTTTCATTGTTTTTTGTTTTTGTTTATTATTGTTATTAATTTTATTTTTTTTTTCGCATCATTGATTTATCATGTATGAGTAGGGGTGAATTCGAGTCGAGTTGAACTATAAAGATTTTTTTTTTTTCCCTTCTATTGTAGGAGTGAAATCCGTGGAAATCAACAGAAAACAACAGAAGGTGACGGTGAAAGGATACGCGGACGCGAACAAGGTGTTGGCGAAGGCGAAATCGACGGGGAAGAAGGCGGAGATATGGCCGTATGTGCCGTATAATCTGGTGGCTCAGCCTTACGCGGCTCAATCTTATGACAAAAAAGCTCCTCCTGGTTACGTCAGAAAAGTTGAAAACAATTACAATAACTCAACCACTGGAAGTGTTGCAAGATATGAACAGGACCCTTACATCACTATGTTTAGTGATGACAATCCAAATGCTTGTTCCATCATGTAATTAATCAATAAATTAGTTTATATATATTAGTACGACTTTTTGGATGATCAGATTTCTTTTCCTTTGTTTTTAATTGGGTTTTTAGGTTGTGCTTTCTGGTTGTGACAAATGGATTTGGTTAGCATTTATTGGATTAAGTATGAGGTTTTCCTTTATGTTTGATTAGTGGATGATTTGTGTAGGATTGCTATGTTTTCTGAGTTATAATTACAAATGAGTTGTTAGAAATAGCAGCCAAACAAATCATGTATTGTTTACTGGCAATAGCTAATTTCCAGCTTAATCACTATTAATGAAAATAAATATATATCAAGCTTGACCACTTATGTTAATGTATTTTGTCACCTCTTTTTTTTTTTTTTTTTTTTGGTGAATGTCACTTGTTTCTTTTGAGTAATACTATGAATTTAGGTAAGACTAATATTTTGGTAGTTGTTTAATTATTACTTCCTCCATCCTCAAACCAAAATACCAACCACTATACTTTGAGACACGTACAAATTATGGCGGGGTTCTATTTTTATTCTCTTTACCTAAATCTCATCAATTAGTACGTTGATTGATACTTCTGTATAATGAATCTAGGTACGTGGGGAGAGGGAGGTCACGGACTGACCAAACCAAGAAAGGGATGATTGCAAAGTCCAAACTCGAAACTCCAGGTATAGAATCCTGGAATATTTTTTTTCTATCTATTCTATCTGTTCTGATAATTAAAGAAAATAAAAAATTATTCCATCTCTTCCAAATTTAAAGAATCGTTCATTCAATAAACTAGATTAACAAATACAGCCATTAAAAATGTTTGATCATGATCTAAAATGATGAGAATTCGCAGCTTTATCAGGCATGGGTAGAAGGTATGTTCCGTTGATAACTCTCAAGAGTGTTATGTCATCAATCATCTGAAGCAGAAATGAACAATTATTTGAGGGTTGAAATTAAAATAGATCAGTTCCGTTTATTAAAATTATGATCTTAGAAAGATACAATATAAAAGTCCCTACAACGAAATATCATGCGAAGATTGATTTTGATTTTAATAAAACAGTCCCTTAATTTTGTCGTAAAATAAACCAATCTTAGTTAAATCATTCGACAATGACTTCCAATGTGACATTAAGGAGTTTAATATGATATGGACATGGCTGTGACAAATCTCTAGTCTTTTTTAATATGGTTTTAAGGTTTGCAACCTGACATATTAGCCAAGATCTCGTTACATCATGAAATCAGTCTCACATGCATTTGTTAAAACTTCGATGCAAGTGAATACGTAAGCCTTGTTTGAATTATTTCTTGGAAAATCTCACAGTGAGTCTGAACTTTGAAGGCCTATATGGATTCCATTTTTGTTTCAGTTCGATGCTAAGTTAAGAAATGTAAAAAAAATTTGGGACTTTACTCAAGAAAGAGTGGTCAATAAAAATCAAACATATCGTTTGAGACTCAAATTCTATAACAGGTTAACTGATAAGAGGTTCGAGAATTTCTAAATATTAGATCAATTGTTAGTGAGTAAAACGACAATCAGAGTATGATCTAATCGGTATTTTTCTTCTACAAGATATTTTCATCTAATCGTATTTCTTTTAATGTACCAAGAAATTATTGAACAATTTCAAAATTCACGGCAAATCCAAAAAGTTTTAATTAAAGAATTATTGAAATTCAATAGTCGTTTTTTATGCTACAATAATTCTAACGAAAATATCCCTTCAAACGTGCAGCAACTTGGTTTACATCCCTCAACTATTTTTCCAATACCAAAAAACAAGAAGATTGAATAGGAGAGAATATTGTTATTATGTTTTTTTTTTTTTTTTGAATAAGAAGGAAGTCATAGGCTTAGGTATTGTAGACGGAGGCGTTTGTTACTATGATTTTGATGTTATAAATGTGATTTGTATTGGGCTGTTCTTTTTCTTTTTGAAAACTGGGGCATCAGATACTTCTCGGTTGGCTTTTGGGCTGCTGACAGATCCATTTTCTTTTACCTCAAATCCGAACAGAGAACACTCTCTCCTGTCCATTCCGCTAACATTAGTCCGCCTCTCCACCCAAAGCAAACCAAGTTAATTAGAGCCTGAATTCTTGACATGTAAATTTGTAACAATGATAAAGAACATTGTATAGTTTATAATAAGATTGTATAGTTATTAATCTCCCCGCAACCAAGATTCATATACCAGTTATTAAAACATTGCAAGTCCAATTCATGAATTTGCAAACCGGACTATTTTTTATTACAACAAATGATGTATTCGTTAAGATCTAAATATTTGTATCAGTTTCATTCAGTAGCCAAACCAACTATACAATAGCCAATAATCATGAACGATCACAAATACATTTGCTGCTTAATTAGGTAATATAAGGTTCGAATGATTATGTCCCATAAGGGATAAAGTCGGTAAGAAAGTAGGTGATATTACGTTGATTTGTGTTTGTATGAAATATAATATAATAATATATATAACGTAGCAACTCGGCTCCTAGTCTTATGGTCTAACCTCTAAACCAAAGCCAACCCGGATTGGATGTGAGAGATCATAAACAAACTCGTTTCCGAGTAAGAACTACGATTAATTGATTTCCGAACTTAAATCATAAACGGATGAACTTTCATATGTATCTCTATATAAATATATATTCACTCAGTCCCAAATTTATTCTTCAGTTTGAAATTTATTGTTGTACAGTCTTCTTCGAAAAATTAGTCAAAAGAACACATATATAGTCAAACAAGAAAATACAAGATGCGACATGATGGACAAACAACACTGCAGATATTCGCGAAATCAGAGAGCAAGACGTTCGTTTTACAAGTCCAGAAATCCGATACGATCGCCGTCGTGAAACGGAAACTCCAAGAAAAAGATGGCATACCGCCGTGCCGGCAGAGACTGTGGTACGGCGGGAAATTAATGGACGAGGAGCTGACCGTCGGAGATTACAAAAGCATAGGAAACAACTCAACGTTGTTTTCTTGGCCGAGGCACTGCGTTTACTGTTTTAGGAGAGAAAACAATCCGGAAGAAGAAGAAGATCACATGAAGATATTCGTGCAAACAAAAACCAACCAGACGCTGACTTTGCAAGTCAAGAAATCCGACAAGGTATCCGCCGTGAAGTCAAAGATGATGATCGGATCAGGTCGGATGGCGGGGAACATGAGCCTCGAATTCGACGGGAGACAGCTGCACGATGAGCTGACTTTAAGAGATTACAACATATGTGGGGACTCTACCTTAATCATGGCTTCGAGAAAACCCGAGGTGCATGATAGAGAAGATGGAAGAGTCAAACCCCAAAATATGTCTTTTTCTGGAGATGAAGACCGAAATAGCTAGATCAGAGGGAGTAGTCAGAAAAAGTATGTGTCGGAAATTCTATTTCCGTTTTTTAATCTATAGTACCAAAAACATATTTATTAATTTCGTTTTTCTGATGATTAGGTGTAATTACAGTTTGATAAATATTTGATCAATAAAACAGAAAATGATAATCCGTTTTTAATTTTATAAATTATTGCGGGAAAAAATAGGGAAAAATTGTAATTTAATAAGTAGGAAAACATCCGAAAATAAAAACGGAAAATCAAAATCCGTTTTTAACCAAACAGACTGAAAAAAAAAAAAACAGACTACAATCATGTTCAAAAAACCAAAAAAAAAAGTCATAATACAATACCAAAATAACACCAAATTGATCAACAAAACGCTGGAGGCATATTTCAGAGCCATAAATTACAATTTTTTTTTAAAAAAAAATACAGCTAGTACTTCAACAGAATTTGTATAATTAAAGATATAACACATTCACTCCAACATAAAGTAACCAATTTTAAAGGCGAAAACAGAATAACAATTGTAAGGAAAAAAAAACAGAGCCAATGATGGAATAGTACTTCTCCAATGTTCCAAAGGCAAAAGAGGCAAGAACAGTGTAGACAACACAATGAAGCACCAAAACAGAACCATCACCAAATTAACTAAATTTTTCACAAATCAACTAATTACAAAATTCTAAATCCTTTAACATATCCAAAATAATAGATCCGCCACATTGTTTTTTAGCATAAATGTAGCTGAAGGTAAAGAAGGTCTTTCTCGATCGGACACTAATTTGTGAAGTTTTTGGATTTGCGTCGAAGAAGAACGAGCCATCTTTTCTAAACAAAGAATACAATAACAAAGACAACCATTATTTTTTAAAAATTAAAAAAAAATACATGGAATCAAATATAAGAAAAGAAACAGAACCATAACAATGTACTGAATCTTGACAGCAATGTACTAAATCTTGACAAAATTGACGGAATTTGGTGATAGTAGGCGTCAAATACAGTATTGCGGATGTGCATGTATGGTGGATTTGAGGATTAGATGGGGGTAAGGCGGGTGGTAGCTGCCGGGAAAAAACTAGGGTTTAGAAACGAGGCGGAGGCAAGTCGACGACAGGGAAGAAAAGAAGAAAATGGAAAGAAGAAATAATTTTTTTTTTTTTTTTGGAGGAGAAGAAGAAATAAGTTATTTAAACTAAAAACGGAAATCAAAATACTGTTTTTATTTTTAATTAATTTTAAACAAAAACGGAAATCAAATGCTATTCTTAGGGCTGGTCATTTTGACCCACGGTTCGGGTCGAACCGATGATCCGAACCGGAGTAACCCGAAATCGATCCGAAAATTCAGTTTCAGTTCAGTTCGGTTCGGATCAATTATTTGAAAGAGTGGAATGGTTTGGATCGGTTCGGGTTAAGTAAATATCCAAATTGAACCGAATGAATTTAAACAAAAAATAATAATAATAAATTTCAATAGTTTCCGACGTTGACCGCAACCGACCGACGTTGACCACCACCGACCGCCGCCAGCAACAACTTCCGGCCAAAAATTCCGCCGACGTCGCCGGCAATTTGATTTTTTCGGATACATCGGATACAAAATGGTTCTTTTCGGTTCAATTGGGTTCAGACCCGAAATTTAACGCGATGTATAGTGCATAATAGTATGAACGTACTACATAATACTAGTACGTACAAATAGTACATAACACTAGTACAGATCAATTATACTGAATTAATAATAATATCTAATGACTAATAGATTTAACAGTAATAAGTAATACTAGTACCAGTGATGTATAGTAGGTAATAGTTTAACGTACTAACTAATACACGTACGTACAAATAGTACATAGAACTAGTATAGATGAATTATATTGAATTAATAATAATATCTAATGAGTATAGATTCAATAGTAATAAGTAACACTAGTACCAGTGATGTATTGTGGGGTTATAGTATTAACGTACTACATAATACTAGTACGGATAAATAGTACATAATACTAGTACAAATGAATTATATTGAATTAATAATAATATCTAATGACTAACCGATTTAATAGTAATAAGTAACACTAGTACCAGTGATGTATAGTGGGTAATAATATTAACGTACTACATAATACTAGTACGTACAAATAGTACATAACACTAGTACACATGAATTATACTGAATTGATAATAATACCTAATGACTAATAGATTTAACAGTAATAAGTAGCACTAGCACTAGTGATGTATAGTGCACAATAGTTTGAACGTACTAAATAATACTAGTACGTACAAATAGTACATAACACTAATACAAATCAATTATATTGAACTAATAATAATATCTAATGACTAATAGATTTAACAGCAATAAGTAATACTAGTACCGGTGATGTATAGTAGGTAATAGTATTAACGTATTACATAATATAAGTACGTACAAATAGTACATAGCACTAGTATAGATGAATTATATTGAATTAATAATAATATTTAATGACTATAGATTCAACAGTAATAAGTAACACCAGTACCAGTGATGTATAGTGGGTAATAGTATTAACATACTACATAATACTAGTACGTACAAATAGCACATAACACTAGTACAGATGAATTATACTGAATTAATAATAATATCTAATAACTAATAGATTTAACAGTAATAAATAACACTAGTACCGACGATGTATAGGAGGTAATAGTATTAACGTTCTACATAATACTAGTACGTACAAATAGTACATAACATTTGTATAGATTAATTATACTGAATTAATAATAATATCTAATAACTAATAGGTTTAACAGTAATAAATAAGACTACTACTGGTGATGTATAGTGTATAATAGTATCAACGTACTACATAATACTAATACATACAAATAGTACATAACACTAGTACACATGAATTATATATACTGAATTAATAATTCATCTGACCAACTGAAATAAAAAAAAAAGAATAAAGATTTTCCTTTTTTGAGTTCAGAAAAACGGATTTGTAATTTTCGTTTTTATTTTTTTTTTACAAAATTTCAATATTTTCTATTTCGACAAAATTATTTTTCCAATTTTCAGTATTTTAAAAAAAAAAAAAAAGAAAAGAAAATAGAGATCCATTTTTGTGATTACAATTAATAAAACGGAAATTGGATTTCCGCCAAATCTTTACATGACCACCAAAAAAAAAAAAAATTCTTCTTCTTTTTTTTGATATTTATTTAGATAAAAGACCCGAAGATAGAAGGATTAAAAAGGCAAGAACCTTAATTTGATATACCCTCTGTCTCAAAAAAATAAATAAATAAATAAATAAAAAAATTTACATTGAGTTATAAAATTTCTACTAGTTTTAGTACAAATGTGGACTTTTTCTTCGGACAAAAATACGTAGCAACATATATTGGAAGTAGACCAAATGAAGAACTAATGAAGGCGGAAGGAATTAATTTGGTCTTGGAAAAGATTCGTTATTACTCCCTCTCCGGTCCTTATTATAAGGCATTTTGATTTTGTCTTAAGTTTAATTTGCGATGCCTAGTGGATATGAAAATATTATTTTTGAGATTTTTTTCCAATTAAAAAGACATCATAAATAAAACTTAAAGATAAAATTAAAATACCTTATAATAAGGAACGAAGAGAGTACTTCCCTTCAACTTGGAGATGCCTATGGAACGAACTGAGGGAGCAATATTGATTCACACTGAAATCTCATATAATTAATAACAACTGGCTTTGCATAAGTTGTTATTAAGTGATTTATCTAAATGATATTATCACCTTAGTCACAAGGAAAAATCGCTTCGTAGGCTTTTGGATGAAATACTAATGCATTATTCAGTTTTTCAAAACTACTGTTAGTTATGTTTTAGTCTTTTTTTAATTTTATTTCATTGATTACGCGATGCATCAATAAAGTTAATAATGATAGGGGGAGAGGGGACCGCAGCTAGTTTGATTCGTATTAATCTTGACTTTGCAAACATAACGAACCTTCACAAAAGTCAGTAATCTCAAATATATGGAAGAGGGGTATGATTTCATAAGATTGGTTGAGAAATTTTTACAATCAGTTCGTGATTGAGGAAATTCAGCGGAGATTTTTTTTTTTTAAAAAAAAAAAAGAGGAAAATTTTGAATTGAATAAATAGAATCCGATAGTTCCTTTAATAACCATACGGGTTTGGCTTCTTCGGACGAAGGCTTTTATGTGATCACTATAGGACGGATTCTTGTATTGGTACATGTGGCCACAGTTTATGTTTTCTTTTGATCTCAATAAAGAGAAATTCCAATGGGCTTAAGATCCCGAAAGACCTCGTTTTGTTGACAAACTCTCCTTATTGGTATTGGAAATTTGTACAGTAGATGAGGCGTTTGGCTTTGTGGGTTCCTCCTGGCATAGTTGTTTTTGCCTGAGGCTTCCATTTGTGTGTGTGTGTGTGTGTGTGTGTGTGTGTGTTATAGAAGATGAGGGTAAAAGATGGACTCAGCATCGTCTCCCGATGTGAATTTGTACTGAAATATTGATCCATTGAGAGAATCTACTTCCATTACAAAATGTGAATTTGTAGCAATAGATACACAGGTAGAAAAACTTAAAAGGATGGATGATGCCCTTGGAATTTAATCACACCGGGAGATGTTATGATGCAAATGTGACAATCAATTACATTACAAATAACCAGAACATAAGACATATCAAGTGATTGAATGGAATATGAATACTAAACAAAATGGTTCAATATTGTTCAATTTTTTTGCTAAGAAAAGAACACAAAAAATACAATCGCCATTCGCCAACCACAGAGACTTTTTCACCTGCCTACTTGATCTTCAAACTCCTTCAAATTGCCTTTAGGATTCTCTTCAAACCTCTGTATTCTGAAGTATTTCAACTCCACGATACTGTTGATGTCCTCCAACAGCTGCCCGTCAATCGCAAGTTGAGACAATACTTTCCCAATAATCGGAGCCATTTTGAAACCATGTCCTGAAAAACCACCAGCAACCACCACATCATTCCCAAATTCTGCACCCAAGAAATCAATGATCAAATCCTCATCCGGGGTCATTGAATACATGCAAGATTGAGCCATCACAGGCCCGTTAACGGCGTCAACGACGTCACCAAATTTGCTTCTGACCCATTCCCTGAGCGAATTCAATGGAACAGAGGCGGCGCCGCCGCCGCCATTAGTCCATGTTCTCTTATCCGGGTCACATGGATTGCCGCCGTGCACAGCGACTTTGATCAATCCCGGAAACTCCAAAGATGGGGTGCCGTAGATGTACGGCTCTCCATAGCTAGCAAAAGTTGGGAAACCATTTTCAATCTTGAAATCATCTTCATAGCCTTCTTTAATCTTCCAATAGTGAACTGCAGTTTGAAGGGGTTGAATTGGCAGAGTCAGATCTGAAACCTTTTGAACCAATTTCTGCATCCAAGCACCGGCCGTAACAACACATTTACTGCACCAAAATCTCTGTTTCTCTTTTGTGATTACTACAATTCCATTATTGGAATCATCCCTTTTGATATCTGAAACTTCTGTGTTGTCCTTCATCCGGGCACCATGTTTGAAAGCAAGTGTTTGAAACATGGAAACAGCTTTGGTGGGCTTAATCACACCACCGTGTTCATTCACAACACCGATCCAATCTTCATGATCACCTAAATGAAACTTACCGCAAAACCCTTTGACTTCGTCATCGTGGTCGAGAATTCGGAACGGAATAGAGTTTTTCCTGCAGCTGGAGATGACAGCCTGGAGAGATTTGCTGTCCTTCGGACCCATATCGAATTGGGGTGTCTTGAAATACACCTTGTACCCAACTTCGGATTCAGCTTCTTGCCATAATTTCTCCGAATGTAACACCATTTTGGGATAGTAATCCTCTGGATAAGTGACCCTTGTGGTTCTTGATTCGCCGTGGGAGGATCCGCGGTGGTGCAAGAAATCGAATTGTTCGAGGAGGAGTACTTTTTGCCCGCGTTTGGCTATTTGGTAAGCTGTGGAACTGCCCATAACTCCGGCCCCGACAACGATAACATCGTACGTGAAATCATCGTAATCAGCCATCTCTGTTTTTTTTCTTTCAGCTCTTTCTAGGAATCTATCCAAGTAAGAGTAAGAAAGGATGGATTCACGGTGTATTGAGATTTTGAGTTGAAGAATCGTCAAACAAACGAGAACGGGGAGAGGTTTTCGGGTCTGACAAATTTGTCTGCTGGAAAGTAGAAATCCAGTTCATCAGTTTGGTTTTTTCTTCTTGTTTTTTCTGTTCTCTTTGGTTTTGACTTTTGTTTCTTTGCGAAAGCAGAAAGCATATTGAATTCAGTTTCTTTAAAAATGGGAAGATATTTCGAAAATATTTTAAAAGGTGAAATGGCTTAATTAAGCAGTGGGGCCCTTGACAGTACTTAGAGAATTACGGTGCCAAATTGACACGTGGATTTTCGTCATCTCCACAATCATAGAGCTAAGAAAAATAGTGGTGCTCACATATCTCATTTAAGCCATTTTTATGTTTTATAAGCACGTGTTTAATTTTACAACGACTATGAAAACATTTCATGGATGTGTAACATGATCACATTAGGACTCCTTTAAGTCCTAAACCATAAGGTCCATCACCTAAGGTAATAGTAGGCTATTTGTGGATTGTTACAGAATTCACATTTCAACCTGCGTGTTATATAATTTTACTTTTTACATTCTATTCGAGAATTCTCTTATTTAATAATGAAATTAAGAAGTTTGCTAAGGAAACACAAGAATAGTGAAAACATCTATATTTGTACATAATATTTGCCCTTAGTATTTTCTTATTTCAGTCTTACTCATTGATGAAAATGAATAGGCAAGATATTGTAGAATTACATAATTTATCATTTCATAGAATGCTATGTAATAGTTTAGATACTTCTTTTTAACTAATATACAAGTATCTTTTCAAAAAAAAAAAAAAATCATATTTCAAGCCCTACGCCCAACTTATCCCGCATCATACACTTTCCAAATTTTCTTGCACACAATCATCAATTATTCTAACATCAAAAACAGATTCATGATTATATGGGTAAATTCATTGCATTATAAACATTAAACAATGTAGCATGATCATTAAAATGAAAAGTTGCAATGTCAGGTTCCACATCGACGTTTTTTTTTTTTTTTTGGTGAAAAAGCGGTTAACCTTTTCATTGGCTTGAAATAAGATGTTTAAGTACAAGCTTCCTACCCAAAAATGCACTATTTACACCATATTTACAGTACACAATCTTCCACTATTAGAATAGTTTGCCAAAAATACTTTGCTCCACTATTTGATATTTTCCTTTTGTAACACATTTGTACTGTGATCTTCACTTGTTTCCGAATTTCCTGGAACAACATATCCACATTTCTGCTTCGGTTCTTGAATATCCTTGCGTTCCTCTCCTCCCATATCCTATATATGCCCACCATAATCACATCATAGAGAATCTTCTTCTTCATCCGTGTTGACTTCCATACAAAATCTCCCTCTGCCACTTGCACAGCTGCACAGACAGCTTTCTGATTCCAAACCATGTTCTAATCCTGTTGAGAAGTTCACTAGAAAACATACAGCTGAAGAACAAGTGGTCAAGTGATTCTGCCTCAACTTCACATAAGCAGTATAATGGATTCTATACAGGGATATTCGAGCGGCTTAACCTGTCTTTAGTCCAGATTCTGCCCTTCCAGACCAGCCAAGCATTAAAAGAGTGCTTGGGAATTTAATCTTGGACCAGATTACAGGTGCAGCCAACATCTTTTCACCCTCCCCCTGGAGCCATTTATACCCATAACTGATATTATACATTCATTTTTGCTGAGTTTCCTTTTACTCCCATCAAACCGCTCTTTTGTCTTATCTCTTAGTTTAATAAACTGCTTCTACGACCAATTGTTATCCATCATTTCATGCATCGACTTCAATCAGAGTATCTCCTTAGCAATTGCCAGCCACCATACTTGTTTGAGAATGGCTGCCTCATTCCACAATCTTGCATCATAGATGCTCAGTCCTCCCTTTTTCTTCCTTTTACAAACAACATCCCATCCAGCTAGTGTAGAATATCTACACGATTCTCTAACCCCCCACAGGAACTCTCTACATTTTCTATTCAGTGCTTCTGTAATACTATGGGTAGGGCTGGAAATTCCTGACACGACCCAGAATTTCGACACGAACCCGACACGAAAGAAACGGGTTCAGGTTGAGTTTTAAGATCCGTATAATAAACGGGTTGAGTTAGGGTTGACCTGTTTATTATACTTGTCAGATTCGTGTCAACCCGCCGAGTTGTCTGGGTTACCGTATATTTGTAATTTATGTATTTTTCTAAGGTTACTTTGGGAATTTTAAGCAAAGTAACCCTAATATATATTCTTCACTTTCGTTCAGACTTATGAGTCTACACATTTTCACTCTCTCATTCTCTCTTTTGCGGCGGTTGACCAAAAGAAAGGTGAAAACTTGACCCAATCGAAAAATTAAAAAATCCTTCCAGTCTTAGTTTGTCTATTTTCTTCAGATCTTTCTCAATAAAAAATTAATGGCCGGTAGAAGAAATAGAACGGCTGCAATTCAAAGAGGTGGCGGAGATTCAACATTACCGCCCTCAAAATTTCACAAGCAAAAGAGAGCTTTGGGATTTGAAATAGGCGAAGTGCCTCTTCTTTGTCTCAAAGTAGATCCTTCTCAACTTGCAATTCGATCAATATCAATGATTTCTCCGGTTATCAGTTCTCCGTTTTACTTTTTATTTTTCATTTCTGTTCTGTGTTAAATTTAGTTCACTTTTAATCTTATTTTCTTGTAGAAATGGAATTCAAGAAGGGGAGTTGTTTAATATTGGCCGTAAAGTTAAGAGCAGTGACCAGTGAGATCAATGCCGGTGAATTTGATTATTATGGTTGTATTATGTTAGATTTTTATTCTATAATTTGAGGGATTGTAAGAAATTCTTATGGTTGAGACTTTTGTTTTATAGTTTGATGCATTGTAAGGAATACTTCTTTTTTTTTGGGTTAAACAAGGTTTAGGTTGTGCTTCTGATTTTTTTTTGGATTAAACAGGTTGACCCGGGTTGACCTGATTTTTAAAAGGTCGGGTTATGATTGACAATTTTGACCTGTATAATTAAACAGGTCAGGTTCGGGTTAAGGATAATTTTTCCGGGTTTGGGTTCGACCCGACCTGCCAACCCAAACCCGACACAGATTGTCAGCCCTAAATATGGGGTAGGATAAAAGCAGAGGACCAGAAGACATGCATATGTAACAATAAAGAGTTGATAAGTTGAAGCCTACCGGCATACGATAAATGCCTTGTGCCCCAACAGTTTAATTTGCTAACTATCTAATCCACCACTGCCTAACATTCTTCTTGGTTCTATTCTTTTGGGAACAATGGGACTCCTAGATATCTCATGAAAAAGCCCTATTTAAATCCTGTAATTTTACAAATCTCCACTTTTAGTGCCTCATTTACCCCCTACAAACACCTCAGACTTCAATGGAACTGCTTTCAAGCCAGAAGTTTCATAGAACTCTTTAAAAGCCATATTTATATATTTATAGTGGGATATCTGTTTTACAGAACAACATTAATTCATCTACAAAACATATATTCGACAGCTTCATATTTTGACACTGGGGGTGGAATTGGAAACCATGTAGTTCTGTTGCTTCCTTGAGCAGTCTAGTTAAATATTCCATCAACAAAATAACGATTAAGGGGGAGATGGGGTCCCCCTGTCTTAAACCCCTTTTATCCTTGAAGAACCCTACATTCGAACCATTTATACACTAGTAAAAGGAGGTTGTTCTCACACACTCCATTATCCAACCCATAAATTTCCCAGGGAATCCAAAACCACTTAGGCACTCTTCGACAAACTCTTAGTCTACTGTATCATAGGCCTTCTGCAAGTTTATCTTCATCATACACCAACTACTGATTCCTTTTCTTATATACAATCGTATTAGTTCTTGCGTGATCAGTATATTATGTAAGATCATTCTACCCTCCACAAAAGGCTCCCTGATTCCCATCCACAAGTACATGCAAAACCTTTTTTAATCTATTACATAGAACTTTAGAGATCATTGTATAGAGCACATTACAACAGGCAATAGGCCTGTATTGACTAGCCTGACATGCATTTTCTAATTTAGGAATTAAATCAATTAAAGTAGAGTTTATTTGTTTCAGCATCATACCATTTTCAAGGAACTCCATCACAGCTTCTGACACTTCATCTCCAATGGTGTTCCAAATTGTCTTGAAGAAGTCAGCTATATCCGTTCGGTCTAGGGCTTTTGTTGATATTTATGCTCCACAGCACTTGTTTGATCTCTTCCTTTGTGACAGGGGGTATCAGCTTCAACTGCATATACATGTCAAGTCTAAGACCTCTCAAGAACACCTTCTGTCTTGTTGGTTTTCTTGCTACTTCATGTCTGAGCTGAGTTTGAGAGAAGTCCAAGAAGTGGACAACAACCATTTTCCAGTCTCTGAAAATCTCCCTTTTTCATCCATAATTGACTAGATTCTATTTCTCATTGATTTCTATCTCAATTTGGAACGGAAAAGTCTGGTATTGCTATCTCCTTCTCTGATCCAGTCCTCCTTGATTTTCTGCCCCATAAAACTATCATAAGCTGCATAAGTGCTTATATATTCCTTGTATGCTGTTCTTTCTTCTTGTTGTAAGCTTTCTTCTCTAGGCTGCTGGATCAACCTTTGTTGTTTCTATTTAAGGGTCAGCTGTGCCTTTTGCAACTTGACCTGTATATCAGAAAAGCTTCTTTTGTTTAGTGATTTTAGGTCCTTCTTCAAAATTTTCATCTTCTTAACCACTTGAAACATATTAGTTCCTCTCATTCTTGTCCTCCATTTGTTTTTAACTATTTCTGTAAATGTTAGTTCTAGTTTTCACATATTGATCCATATATAACCAGTTGAACCACCAGTCGGAAGTGATTTGAGATCCCCTCAGTGAGTATTGTGGTAATAGAGTGATTGAAATGCTCCACCCAATTCCCATTCACAATTGCCCTATCCAGCTTTGCATAGATTCTAGTACTCCCAAACCTGTTTATTGCACCATTTGTGAAGAGGACCTTGTTGGTTTAAGTCCTGCAGGCCACATTCTTCAAAGCAGTACTTGTGAGGTTTTGTATCAGTTAGTGCCACTGGAGCACCTCCTAATTTCTCCTCATGCGTAAGCATATTGTTGAAGTCACCACAAACCAGCCATGCCTTGTCCATTATTTTGCTTGTATCATTTAATGTCTCCCATAATTATGCTCTATCTTGCATCTCATTGTTAGCATATATTTTAGTCATGACAAATTCCTCTCCATCCTGCTTATCACTAACTGTGTAGTGTATGAATTGCTCTGAACTATTCAGAACTTGGATCTCTACTGATTCATCCCATACTAGTAGTAATCGGCATTTACTAAAGTGTCCCGCATTTGTCTTGTATTGCCACCTTGGATACATACTTTTCATAATCTCTTGTACCTTCTCTGGTTTCATTTTGATCTCTGATACAAATGCTAAGTTGATCTTATTTACAGAAAGAACTTTATGGAGTTCCTTGAGTTTTATAAGGGCATTAAAGTCCCTTATATTCCACGTTAAGATCTTACACATTGATACCAAGATCAGGATCTGGTTCAATGTCCACCTTCTCCTTGTTCTTTCTACTTCTTTCCCTTCAAATTCTTTTAAGAGTCTTTAAATATCCTCCTCAGATGATCTGTTCAGAATTGTGAAGCTAACATGACTCTTTCTAAGTTCTTGTTTATCTTGGCATGGCCACAGGTGTCTTCCTTCTTCTCTAGTGGCTTACTTAATCTCCTCCATCCTGTTCTTTTCCACATCAATGCATGTTACCTTCACTTGCTTTTAGAAATGATTTTTCAAGCAAAGCAACAGTTTCATCAAGTGATATATATTATTTCCCATGTCAATAATGTAAAAAATTAGTTAGGAAAACTAATTCATTTGCTCTAATTAGAACATGTTCAATCATGCTTTAAGGCTAAGGATGTATAGTAAATCTATATTGGTCCAAGATTCAAATAACTAAAGAGTGACACTGGCATGGCATTAATTGAAGACTGTTTTTTCAATTCTTTTTGTACCAATTATGCAAGATATAATAGAAATAAGAAAATGAGTCAAATTTTTCTATTGAACGGTCTAACAGAAATAAAGGTAACAGTTTGGAACCAGAAATAAATCATAAAACGGCCTACTCCAATTAAATCATAATTATGCATAATATAATTAGAGTTACGTATATCCATAATGTAATCATGTGGTTAATAGCATTATATCTTCTCTTTAATTTGAAAAACAAACAAGAAAAAGATTTTCTTCAAAAAGCCATGTGGATGTTTTCTTTTACTGTCTCTCTCTCTCTGTTTTTTTTTCGCCATTTTTTCTTTTTCTAATGGAAGAAGGGACAATTTTTTTTAGGGATAAAAGCCATATCCAATTCCCCAAAGTGATCGCCACATATCAATTATCACGTTGAAAAAATAGAAATGATTACTACCGAATTCCAAACACAATATCAGTAAAGGCAAAACTCCTCTGTAATGGCGGTCTTTACGCTGACACCAAACATAGCTACACCAGCTTTCCAGCCATTGACTCCAAAGCCCACCTCCTCCAACTTCAGAGTATCCGCATTATCACCAACAAACCCTGAAGTATCCACCATTTCAACCACCAAGAAACGATTTTGCCAAGTGGGATTGGGGCTTTTGGCTGCTTCAGTTGTGGGTTCAACTCCATTGGATGCCAATGCCACCAGGATTGAGTACTACGCCACTGTGGCCGATCCCCCTTGTGAGTTCAGTTATGCTCGCTCCGGCCTTGGATATTGTGATATTGCTGTTGGCTCTGGTCCTGAGGCTCCTTTCAATGAACTTATCAATGTCAGTTGTGTTCAATTTCCTAACGTTTTTGTTTTACTAGTGAATAGTGAGTTGCTTGGGTCCTTGTGTTTTTTTAGGCCATGTTTGAAGCTCGTCATCATTGATTACATTCATCTTCAGTTTGTTGTTTGTTTGTGAAAATGAGATTACAGACGGTTGTAGTTAATGTAATGATGAATTGACAAACTCGAATTTAACCCAACTTAGGAGTTCCTGAATACCAAACTGGTGCTTATCAGATTATTGTTGCTTGACCTCAGAAAGATTATAGTAGTTGAGTAATGGACACTACAAAGTAGCCTAGAGATTTGCTCTGCATTGCAAGGGTAGTCTTCTGGTGTTGCACTTTTCAAACGAATGACATGTAAAAGAATAGGATTCATTCACTGCTCAGTTTATTATTCATCACCGGCTATAGTCATCTTTCTTCATCCGCAACTTTTTCTGTTCTGTCTTATATTAATGGCTGAGGGTTGACACTGGACAGAATAGAGACACAGAAGGAATACATGTATCCTATTTCCTATCTTAATTTCTAATCTCTTGTTGGTTTATTTGGGCAGGTTCACTACACAGCAAGGTTCGCTGATGGGATAGTTTTTGACAGTAGCTATAAACGCGGTAGACCACTTACCATGCGCATTGGTGTTGGAAAGGTAATTATGCTTCTTAAGACTACTGGTCAAGGAGCTTGGTGTTATGAGTTTCTCATATTGCTCAAATTTGTAGTTAGTTGAACCTTCGTGACAATTCTTGTGCTTGATACTTACGATGGCCAGGATCAATATGATATTGTTAAGGGTTTTGTTTTATTCTTATTTGTTGAAATATGAGACAGTAGGTTATGCCTTTGTCATGATAATATTCAGAAACAATCATTACCATGTTGTGGATGGCCTAAGACCAGATATAATCAAGTTGAATAGTTACCACTTTTGGAGACACTATTAAATGCATTACTGTAGAATAGACTCTTGCTAGTTAGTTGGCGATGTATGTTGAGAGAAAAACAACTATTCTCAGGCAGCACCAAGGTCTAATTTTACATGAAAGTGTACTTCTTAATTAAGATAGATGTTTGCATATCATTCTTTGCTGTCCCAACATGTTTTCTAGTTTACTATCTCAGTTCTTTAACTTCATGCCAGTCCTAAGAATCTTTGTTAAATCACCTCTCACAGATATCATAGATTGGTTCCTGTGTCCCTGGGTTCTTTAGTCACTTATTGAGGATGTTTGCATATCATTCTTTGCTGTCCCAACATGTTTTCTGTTTACATCTGAATTCTGTCACTTCATGTCAGTCCTCTGAACCTTTGTGAAATCACCTCTCAAAGATATCATAGATTGGTTCCTCTGTTCCTTGGTTCTTTAGTCACTTTTTGAGGATTATCTGTTCCCAGGTGATAAAGGGTTTGGATCAAGGAATTTTTGGAGGGGAAGGAGTACCACCAATGCTAATAGGTAAGACTTAGCCAATGCAAAGTAACCATTTTCTTCCTCATTAGCCAATGCAAAGTAACCATTTTCTTCCTCATTACAGTCTTGTAGATGATTAAAAAATTAACTTGAGTTTCTTACGCAGGTGGGAAACGCAAGCTTCAAATACCTCCAAATCTGGCTTATGGGCCCGAACCAGCAGGCTGTTTTTCAGGTGGTTTTCATTTTCTTATATTCTACCCATTAAAGGGCATTAGAACTGTTGGGTTAATTTGATCTATTATCTGGCTGTAAAAGATCAGAAAAGGTCAGATGTATGCGTTTGCTTAGTGCTGCTGATATATGCTGCCAGAGGAATATGGAATTTCCCATACAATCATCACTATGAAATTATGATCTCCAAATTCATCAGATATGGTTTAAATTAGGATTATTCTCTCTTCCTCATTGTTCTGACACCAGTACTTTTAAATTTTCAGGTGATTGCAATATTCCAGGAAATGCAACCCTTGTATATGATGTGAATTTAGTAGAGATCTATAAGGGAAACAGGAAATGAAAGATGTATAATTTGTGACAAAGTTGCACTCTGAACTATCAAGTAAGTTTTCTGAAATGTATGCTAAACCATTCTTTTTGTTACTCTAATAAAAAGATTGGTTGCTGTCATTTAGCAAGGTTGTTTTTTGATTAAAATGACTAAAGTTCTGGATATTCTGTTAAACTTTCAAATCCTGTATCGCTAATTAGGTTGATGCTTTGATATTACAAACTGTTAGATCCCAGGAATAATCCTGAAACTAAACAAGAGAAATAGACTGGCATTGTCCTTGTAAAAGCTCTCCTACAGAAGAAACTAACATCACATACAGAATGTACATGGAATTATCCTGCTGAAGTAACTTCGAGGATTAGTGAAAAGGCTAAAAGCTTCAGGCAGATGTTTTCATAGTTATTAATTTTGTAAAAACTATAGTTTCTGGAATGATCTACCCAAAACTTTGGGAATCTGGCTAAAGTTAATTTCTTGTACTTCCTACTGGATACCTGAGTTGGTTGGGCTTCTAAGCTCAAGCTCATCAAATGTTTAGAATAATGAAGCTATACATCTTCAACTCTGCTTTGAACTACTCTGCTCCAGTATTCCTGTGATTGCATGTGTTGATTTCCAGCAATACTAACATCAAGATATGTTTCAGTTTTCGCTACATCCAGCCAACAAATGACACTGTTTTGTTACTAAATTATGCTGTTAAATTATATCTGAATTTCTACGGCTTATGTCTGCAGAACAAGTCATCATGACAAATCTGTTGTCTGTCTAATGATCCACCTGCGAAGAAAACAATGGCAAAGTACTTAGTGCCTTCTGGAAATGGCTTGAATACATCTTGGATCATTGATCACTTCTCCCATACAGAATCAAGATATGTAGATTGCAATGTAAAGATGATATTAATCGCCCATGTGATGGTTCTAACAGGAGCACTATCCTCTTTCCCTCTTTTCTGCCGAGTTGCGCAGACTATTCTCATCATCTTTCTGATAAATCTTATTCGAACTTATGGCCTAATTTGGAATCTCGAATTTCCGATTGGTTTCAGTGTTAGGACATGAAGCTGGTGATACAAAGTAGGAATAAAGTCTTCATGAGTTAATGCCCTAAATTGTGGTTATCGTTTTAATTTTTACAATTGAGAATAGCTAGGTTGCAAGTCAAAATCGAGTAGCCAATCTAAATCATAGTACATAATATACTTTCTTACTGATCGTTGGAACTTCGATTGTTCTTTTTTTTTTTTCCCCCTGGAAAAACCCCCAATTGTTCTGGAATTTGAATGGTAATCGAAATTCGCCATTTATACAAATTAGTCTATGTTGAGTCCCTGAATTTCCAAATTTCTGGATCAAGTTCTCCAGCTTCGTGATTGGAAGACATCCAGGCAAAGAGGCACATAGTTCAGTTATAAGGTATGAGGGAGGGGAGTTTCATCTCCTGAAGATTCAGAAAGAGTTGAGCAAACCTGCTTTAAACTCTTTTAGTTACTCATCCAAATACATTTTAATAAATTATTCTCCGTAGTAAAAGACTTAATTTGAAATCATTACTCACTCTTGGATGACTTTGATGTTCAAATATATAACTAACTATATAGCTTAAGAGATGGGATTATGAATACTATATGCATGATGAATAAAGTTATACCCCCTCTCCTCAAATTTATTGTCCAGTTTAAGATTTCACTTTTAGTACAATTTGAACTAAAAATGAAAACTCAAACGGGATAATAATTTTGGGACGGAGGGAGTACTAGTTTTTTTTCATTTTTAGCTCATGTTGGGTAGAAGTGTTGCAGGGTGTTTTGTTTTGTTTTTTGTTTTTTTTTTTTTTTTTGTTTTTTTCCTTCCTAAAATGTTAATAGCTATAGACGAAGTTCGATCGTTCTTATGGATGGACAAAGAATTGTGGAAGTCTTTTTAGATGTTTGTTTATCAAAAAACTTATATGAAGAAAATATAAAAGCTGCAAGTCAGTATCATATACGGAAATGACATTTTTATTTAGTTTATTAATATTAGCTGTGCTATTCAAGAAGTTTACATTAACCATAGTAATAATGAGGAGGAACAAGAATAATAATAAGATTAAAATATGGGAAAGATGAAGATATTATTTTTCTTAGAATTCGAAGGAAAGAGAGGCGGCCGCTTGAGTACAGACTACAGTTTTCTTTTGGGGCGGCTGTATAAACAATCGTTGATTAAATGACTTCTAAGTATAATTAACATTAATTACTATGGTTTAGTCAATCTAAGTCATCTTAAAGTGATCATCACGCATTAGTGCGTGAACTTTATTACATTATGTAAGTTTCACCAAGTCTTATGATAACAACAACTTACTATAGCTACAAAAATAAATTGCTATTTAAGAAAAGATTGTGCGATCTGACCATTGTAATGACATATTTCCGTAAGCACTATATATATGGACTATCGAATGAAACTAAATCTCAGTTGCTTCCTAGCTCATTTTGAGAATCTTTTAGCTCAAACAAAACTCGATAGCTTGAACTTAAAATAAATCCTTTTGAATCCATTTCTTCATTGAAAGAAGAAAGAAATGACTGATTCCGATGATTTCACTTATGATGTTATTGTGGTCGGAGCCGGAGTTATGGGCAGCTCCGCAGCTTACCAAATTGCTAAACGAGGTAAAAAAGTACTCCTCCTCGAACAGTTCGATTTCTTGCACAACCGGGGCTCATCCCACGGCGAATCAAGAACCATAAGAGTAACCTACGCAAAAGATTACTACCCGAAAATGGTTTTGCATTCCGAAAAATCATGGGAAGAAGCTGAAGCAGAAGTTGGGTACAAGGTGTATTTCAAGACGCCCCAATTCGACTTGGGTCCAAAGGACAGCAAGTCTCTCCAATCCGTCATCTCCTGCTGCCGGAAAAACTCGATTCCGGCTCGAATTCTCGACCATGATGAAGTAATCAAAGAGGGTTGGGGAAAGTTTCAACTGAGCGATGAAGATTGGATCGGTGTTGTGAATGAACACGGTGGAGTAATCAGGCCCACCAAAGCTGTTTCCATGTTTCAAACACTTGCATTCAAATATGGTGCCCTGTTGAAGGACAACTCTGAAGTTGTAGATATCAAAAGGGATGATTCCAATGGTGGAATTTTAGTGCGTACTAAAGATAATCAAACATTTCGGGGCAGAAAATGTGTTGTCACAGTTGGAGCTTGGATGCAAAAATTGGTTCAGAAAGTTTCAGATAAAAAACTGCCAATTCAACCCCTTCAAATTGCTGCATACTATTGGAAGATCAGAGAAGGTCATGAAGATGATTTCAAAATCGAGAATGGTTTCCCGACTTTTGGTAGCTATGGTGAGCCACACATATTTGGGACACCGTCTTTGGAGTTCCCGGGATTGATCAAAATCTGCCTTCACGGCGGCGATCCATGCGACCCGGATAACAGAGCATGGACGGAAGTCAACTCTGTTGCTATAATTGCGATCAAGGAATGGATACAGAGCAGATTGGGAGACCTCGTTGATGCCGTTAACGGCCCAGTGATAGCTCAGCCTTGCATGTATTCTATGACCCCAGATGAGGATTTCATCATTGATTTCTTGGGTGGAGAATTCGGGAACGATTTGGTGGTTGCCGGTGGTTTTTCCGGGCATGGTTTCAAAATGGCGCCGATTATCGGAAAAATATTGGCTGAACTTGCCGTTGACGGGAAGCTGGTTGACGTTAACAGCATCGTTGAATTGAAATACTTCAGGATAAAGAGGTTTGAAGAGAATCCTAAAGGCAATTTGGAGGAAGAAAATTCTGGTGATCATGTCAAGCAATGCTTGTAGGATCGTGATTCTACGTAAGATCAAAATGAGGTCATAGGATTGGATCGGAAACGGAATCGGTGGGATCGGAATAATAGGATCGTAAAATTAATTATACATGTTATATAATTAATTGCTTTAATAATTAGTTTTAATTATCTTTAAATAATAAAGTATTTAACCTTTAACGAAAAGAATCGTGTAAATTCAATTGTATGTGAATTTCTTCATAACTTTTTAATGAAAACTCTTCTCTTATAGTTATTCTTTTCATTTTAGTAGAAAAACTTTTTAAAATACATTTTTTTTAGTAATAAAAGTTTCCTTAATGAATATTAGTATCAATTGAATGTAGACCAAAAGAAATAAGAGAAATAGTAAACTCGAACCGATCCACCGATCATGTACGATCCTAACCGATCCTGACCAATCTCACTCCAATCTCACTGCAAAATTCGAGTTTGATCAATTCAGAATCGATTTAGGTACTTGGGATCGTAGGATCGGACCGCGAGTTAGCAAACTATGATGTCAAGTGAAGTGAAGTGGCTTGATTTGATCAAAACTGCAGGACCGCGGCTTTCCTTTTTTTCTTTTTTTTTTACCTATTATATTATAGTTAATTTGTTGCAAGAATAAAATAAATATTTTTTCCGATTTCGCAAAAATTATCATTATCGAGTTTTAAGACTTACATTATTTTTAACACAAAAAATCTCAAACCTCATTGTGGACAATTTTTTAGACGAAGAAGGACTTTTTAATTTTCAACATATCACTCTATAAGTTTCGACCATTTGCGTTCATTCATCACTTGTCCTCTTTTACTTAGGTATGAAAAAGAAAAAAAAATTGAACAAAACACATAAAAGTATTCTCTCAAAAAACACATAAAGTAAGGGTATTTCTTTTAATTATTAGTTTTATAAATATATACTATAAGACTTGACTCAAATCAACCTCGATCATTGCAAATGCCCGGCTCCATTGTAATTACCTAGCTAGGCCAGTACACAACTTTTTCAATGATTTTGTGATCATCTGGGGTAGGCGCGAATTGAGCCAAGTGTTAATGACCCTATTATATTATTCATGAAGTAACCCTGTAAACTCTTATCTTTTAACTTTATGAGTCTGCATGATTCATTTCGTATCATGTTACAGGATGTTTGAAATAATGGATAAAATTTATTGGTACGTATGATTAAATTTGTTGTATCGATCAAATTAGTTGCTTATAGAACGCAGTTAATTCATCTTATGAAAGAAGTGATGCATGATTTCCAAAGTATGGGTAGAATGCGTTCTACAAAAAACACTAAAAAAAAATGATAATAGTAAAAGTTAAAAAAAAAATAAAAAATAAAAAATAAACGAGGGCATTAGTCAAAGAGTAAATTTCGGGATCGATCAAATACCATTTCAAAACAAATTTCTCCACAATGCCAGGTTTTACCCCTCTGGATTCACCATCAACCACCCCTTGAATTCTGCTTCAATCTACCTTCTTCTTCATCATCATTTTGTGTTCTTCCTCATTTTTTCTTCATTCTTTCTGGCAATATTCAGTATAACAGCACGTTTCGTTACGAATATCTTTACGCTTTTCAGTACCCTATCATATATCCTTTAACCTAAATTAACAAATAAAAATCAGGAGCAACATTTTAAACTAAATGGGGCGTGTAAAGCTACCAATTTCAAGAATAGTAAATAACACAAATAGGCAAGTGACATTTTCAAAACGTAGGAATGGGATTCTTAAAAAAGCTTATGAGTTAGCAATTTTATGTGACATAGACATAGCCCTCTTCATGATTTCTCCTTCTGGCCGCATCAGCCTCTTCTCAGGCACAAGAAGGTACGTTGGTTAATTTCAAAGTTTTTCTACGTTTATTAATTCAGCGGATATTATTAAAAAAAAAAGTACATTGTTTTAATTAATCAAATTGATTCAGGATTGAAGATGTCATAGTACAGTATTTCAATTCGAAGGATGAAGAAAGAGAATCAGATTCCGAAGTGTAATTCTTTCTTTTTTCTTCTTCTATGATCCTTAGTAATAAATTTTCCTTTTTTTTTTCTTTCTCCATTTTGAAATTTTGCATGATATTTGATAGAATTTTTCATTGTTCAATTGCAGCGTTGTTAATGACAAAGAGGTAAGTGGATGTTACTCATTTTGATAATTCTGGGTTCTGTTCATACCAACTTCATATTGATCCCTTTAAAATAATACAGAATGTTGTAACGACCTTGATGAGACTCAAAAATGAAGAAACAGCATTACAAAGGTATTTTTTTACACACTTAGTTATATTATTTGTATTTTTTTTGCTGTTAACGCCCATTAACATTTCAAACATGTAGTAGTCTCTTTGGCATATCCAGGTAATATAGGTCAGATCCTAACTGAAATATTTAGGAGATTTTCTAGTATAGTTATGGAGCTGTTATGACCACAATGCAACTATATATTCCTTTAATTGTTAGTGTACAATTTAGGCTAAGCCTAATACACAATATCATAAAATAGTTCAACGGTTTAGATTACTAATTATACCTAGAAGTAGCACGTAAATCTCCTATCAAATAATCAACGGTGTGTTTTGTTTTGCCATTGAGTTAATTACTTTATCTTTGTCATATTTATAGTCCGCTTTGTTCATGTGTGATAGTTTCTTTCTGTTTTTTTTTGCGTCCTTTATTTTTTGTATTCACATTTCTCTTTGATAACTTGTCTTACGTATTATTCATTTTCGTGACATTGTGGCACAATATGGTTCAGCTCCCAAGTTCTTAGTTCACAAGCTCAGGTAAATAGACAGAAAAAAGAAAAAAAAAAAATCTTCTCATTAACTAGTCCCATTTTCAATTAATGCTTTTCCCGTTAATTTTTTTTTCTTTGTTCTGTTTTCTTTTGGTTTTTTTTTTTAAAAAAACTTTAAAAGGAATATAAACAGGAGGTTATGAAGTTGCAACAGCTGCTTGAGTTAGCACAACAGCAATTGAGGTAACGTATCGGTTTCTTCAAATTTGCGCTGTACATTTCAAGTTTATGCTTGCATTTTGGTTAGATTTAAACTTTTATATAGTGTCCCAAAATGATTACCACATTTTTTTTATTTATTTTACAATTCATTTTCGGGGGAATGAATAGATCATTGCGAGATTTAAAATTCTTTCGGTTGTGTTAACTCCTCAGAGTGTTGGAACCAGATCCACAGAAGTTTACATCTTTAGACGATTTTAATTCTTGCGAACAACGCCTTTCTGAGGCATTGAGACTCGTCGAGAAAAGAAAGGTAAAAAAGAAAGTTGTCCTATTTGATGGAAAAATTAAATTGTAGAATTCTTTTGCATATTGATTATTCTCACCGTCTTAAAATAATAGTGTTATTTGTTATCCGAAAAATAATTAATGACTCTGATTTTGAGACTAAAAGAATATTCATTTGCTTGGATAATTTCTTCCCGATCCTTATTTGTGTAAATTGTGCAATTTATGCTCTCGATTCTATGTTTCAGAAAACATTAGTGACCGATCAGTGCTCAAGTTATCAAGATACTGGAGAGGTAAAACACAATTTCATGAAGTTTCTTCCTTCTATTTTCAATTTAGTTTTACTTCATTAAAAAAAATAGAGCACAAAAATGTCATACTATTTTGTCGCAGCCAGAAATCGCTCGGTAAAAGCCTTATGAAACGTGATATAACATATTAGAGGCTATAATGAAGTTATGACCCCATTTCATTATAAATTTTTTAATCGAATGTAACTCAAATTGTTAAATGAGAGTTTACTTTTCCTTTGCATCTGACAGCAAATAAACACAGTATTTCAGTACATCAACAATGCCCAAACAGAGGATAAAAGATCTCCTCCGCTTGAGAACCCAGATTTTGGTTCTTGGGTCGATCATGTTCAGAAACTAGATTTAGAGGGATCAGAGGCTACATCTTCAATTTTCCTAAGGTTTTGCATCAATGGTTTTTTTCCCCTTCCTTTTTGATAAGTTTTATTATTTCGTTCTAAAATAATAGTTTTGTATATTATAATATTTTTTAATACAACAAACGTAACACTCTATTCATTTTGAGACAGAAGACCTAATTTGTTGCTAGAGTGGATTTTCTAATATATATAAAACGAGCTTGATCTTGGGGTGATTTGTTCAGGAATCCGGAGCCATCAAATCAATCATTTCCCAGTCTCCTGGAACAAAAAAGTTCAGTCTCTTTGGTAAGACCATCTAAACCCTTAGTTTTAATTAAGGGACAAAAATAAAATTTTGAATGGTTTTTGAAAACGAAAATAATTATAAATAAAATTACTTCTTTCGTCTCAGAAAAAAAAAATCATTGTAGTTTGTGATTTGTACTAAAAATTAATAAAAATAAGAAATTTTAATATTTACTACTTTTATGGAACAAAGAAAGTACTATTTTATGCATGGTGAGAAAGAATATGAGAACATAGGTTCCAGAAACGATCAATATAATGTTCTATTTGTCCTACAAAACAGATTAATGTTTGTCTTATAATCCGTAATGAGAATGACTTTTTGGACATACATTTAGATTAGCATTAGCCGCCAAATATCATTAAAAAAATTAATTTGACAACTTTTTACATTAATTACAGAATGGAATGCCGGGTCTAACACAACCTTCTCATCATACGGAGTTTGCATCTTCTTGTCCATTGCCTCCAAAGCAAGAAGACAATGCGTACAACACCAAATTATATTAATATTTTCTCTCTTTTTTTTTTCTAATGAAAAATTTGAGTTCTTTCTATCCATAAACTTGATAAACGTTTCTTTGGTTCCCTTTGATTTTAAATTAATTTAATTCAATTGTCACATTGATGGAATTATTATGACAAAATCATAAATTTGATAAGTAGTAAGTGGAGTTGTGACTTAGAAAAAAAAATTTTCTCTCTCCCAAAAAAATAATATACATATAATTTTAAAATTTATACACAACGTGGACTTTATTTTTTAAACAGAAAGTGTATTACATTGTTGTTGTTGGTAATTCCTTAAAGATTGTTTTTTAATTCTTCAAATTCTTGATCGGTGAACAAATTTAAAAGTCTAACAATTTATTTCGGTATATTGTGCATAAGTGGCCCGAAATCTATGGCCCCGATTAACGATTTCGGGCCTTTCGGCAAATACAGCAAATCCTGCTCAATAAAAACAATTAGATAAGTTCTTATTAGTGTGTCTCTGCGGCAAAATGAAGTAATTCCCAAAGGGAAGAAAAAATAAAAAGTATATTTGAAGGAATATCAATTTTCAGACGGAACCTCGAAAACCTAAACTGTTCAGACTTCAGAATTTCAATTTTCAATCATGAACCCGGAACATCTGTCAAAGATAAAAAGAATGGAGAAAAAGATTGTCTCTCAGAAGAAAATTTTCGAACATAACTAACTACTTGAGTCAAAATCATAGAATCCAGAAACCAACTGGAGTTCGGTCAAAATCATTGTATCCACCTATAAATCAATACTTGAAGGAACCAAATGAAACAGTTAGCTAGCTAGCCCAGTGCAAATGTGCAAAGTGATATCTTCAGCAAAGATAAGAAAGACTTGAATAACAGTTGGAACGTGGAAATTGATCGCACTACGAGAGAAGTCGTCGACTGAGTTGGCGGGTGTACAAAGCGACACTTGATAGAATATGGAAATAATCGAAACCCTAATTAGGGTTTTCTATGTAAAGAAGGATGCTATCACCTTCTCATCTGGCTATTGGTCTCTCTAACATCAAGAATTATGTGACTCCCGTTCTGAATTTCACAAACTACATGCTATGGAAAGAGCTTTTTCTTCCTGTCTTTCGCGGACATGCCGTGATTGGTCATATCGATGGCTCCGATCCTTGTCCTCCATCAACTCTCGCTGCCTCTGACGGCACTTCCTCATCCACTCCAAATCCCGCTTTTCGAACTTGGACCCAAATTGGCTCCATTGTCCTCTCCTAGATCCAAGCCACTGTTTCCACTGAAATTTTGCAAGCCATAGTTCGGCCCAATTCTTCCCTTACCGCCCGCGATGCGTGGCTCACCATTGAGAAACGCTTCCACGATCAGCTTGGTTCCCGCGTTCTCCAATTGAAATTGGAGTTTCATAGCTTAAAGAAAGGGGACTTAACCATTAATGAGTATGTTACCTAGCTTAAGATGTTGACCGATTCATTAACAGCCGTCGGTTCTCCCATCTCCGATGATGACTTGGTGCTTCAAATTCTGGCTGGTCTTCCTTCGACCTACCAGTCTGTCTCTACTACTATTAGCCATCGCGTTCCTTTACCCAACTTCGTTGAAGCTTGATCAATGCTCTTCCTGCATGAAGTGCAACTTCAGCACACTGCTCCTTCTTCCCTCTCCACGGCTACCAATGCTCTGGTCGCGGCATCTCCCACTGATCTTCCACAGCAGTAATTCAATACCCCTTCTCACCAGCAGCCGTCTTCCAATCGTGGTCGTGGCAGGGGTCATGGTTTTCAAAATAATCGGGGACGTGGCCGTGGGCGTGGACGCAACCAATTTTTTGGTCAGTATCCTTCCTCGTTTTCTGTACCTTTTAATTCTTATCCAGCTCCTATGTTTACTCCCAGGCAACGTGCTCCCTCTCTTCTTGGTCCGGCTCCCTCTTTTCAGTCCAATCCCGCTGCTGTTCGTTGCCAATTGTGCAATCAATTCAATCACTCTGCTCGAGATTTCTATCAATTTCAACAGCCCGCTTACTTTGTGGATCACAATAATCGGTCTTCTATTCCCCCATCTGCTGATTCCTCCTGGTATATGGACACTGCTTGTGGTAACGATATGACTCCTTCTCAAGGTACTCTCACTAATTCCAAACCTTATACTGGTTCTACTCGAGTCATTATTGGTAATGGTCATTCTTTACCTATTCAATCTGTTGGTCAACTCTCTTGTTCTCAGTTTCGTTTCTCTAATGTTTACCATGTTCCTTCGCTTACAAAAAATTTAATCTCTGTGCATCAATTTTCCACTGAAAATCAATGCTCTGTTGAGTTTGACCCTTTTGGTTTTTCTGTGAAGGATCTTTGGACGAGAAACCCTCGTCTACGTTGCAATAGTACTGGGTCCCTTTATACATTTCCGCCCTCACTGCTCCATCCACCCCTTGTACCGTCTTCTCCATCTTGTCCGGTGTTTGCTGCTTCTATCTCTTCTCAATTATGGCATCAATGCCTTGGTCACCCGAATGCCTTCGTTTTGTCCAGTTTAGTGTCCAGTCGAAGTCTTCCTGGTTCCATGATCTCTTCAAATAAACTTAGTCTTTGTCAGGCTTGTCAAGTTGGGAAGCATCATAAACTCCCTTTTATGCCTTCTTCTTCGGTTACTTTTCGTGCTTTTGATATTATACATACAAATGTTTGGACCTCTCCGTGTCATTCTTTTAGTGGTTTCAAGTATTTTGTACTCTTTCTTGATGATTTCACTCATTATTTATGGGTGTATCCTCTTAAAAATAAATCTGAGGTTCCTCAAAAGTTTGTTGACTTTTATACTCTTGTTCAAACTCAATTCAATGTTTCCATCAAAACTCTTCAATCTGACGGTGTAGCTGAATATGTTCATTCTCATTATCTTCAATATTTTTTTAAATCTAAGGGGATCACAATGCATATCTCTTTTCCGTACACTCCTCAACAAAACGGCAAGGCTGAGCGCATGAATAAGACACTAATCAATATGATCCGCACGCTTCTGCATCGAGCTCACTTATCACATGCATTCTGGGTAGAGGCTTTACATACTAGTGTCTATCTGTTAAATCGTTTACCTACCAAATCAAAAAATGGGGCCATTCCTTTCTCCCTTCTTTTTGGTCATCCCCCTAACTATGGTTCCTTAAGGGTTTTTGGATGTTCCTGTTTTCCCAATCTTTCCAATTTAGCTTCTCATAAGCTCCATCCTCGCTTCGCTCCATGTGTCTTTCTTGGTTATCCTGAATCTTATAAGGGTTATCGTTGTTTTGATCCCGCTTCTAAGAAAGTCTATACTTCTCGTCATGTTGTTTTTGATGAAACCTCTTTTCCATTTCCTTAACTCTCTTCGGTTCCCCAAAACAATCCTCCCCAATCTCCTTTTAAAGATCTCTCGTTCCTTATTTCACGATCCCTCCATTCATCAAAATCCTCTCCATTGGTTGGTTCTCCTTCACAAAAACATGTGTCCTCCGTTCCTTTAGTATCTGAACCCCCACTTCCCATTTCATTGTCACATACTTTGGATCCTCCCATTTCGAATCCCCCTATTCATCATATGGCCACTAGAACTCGTGATGGTACTCGTAAATCTAAACAAATACTCTTTCTTACTGCCACTACTACATCCTCTTCACTCCCTACTGAACCCAAATCCTTTACTGAAGCAAATAAATACCCTGAATGGCGTGCCGCTATGAATGACGAATTTAATGCTCTCCCCACTAATCATACATGGGATTTAGTCCCTCCCCCTGTTTCTGCCAATATTATCGGCTCCAAATGGATTTTTCGAGTCAAGTTAAAATCTGATGGCTCTCTTGATCGATGTAAGGCACGTTTGGTCGCTCAAGGCTACAATCAGCAGCTTGGACTTGATTATGACCAAATGTTTAGTCCGGTGGTTAAACCTGTGACAATTCGGACTGTCTTAAGTATTGCTGCTTCTCGAAAATGGCCCGTTCATCAGTTGGACGTTAAAAATGCATTTTTGCATGGTCATCTTAACGAAATTGTCTATATGAAACAGCCTACTGGTTTTGTTCATCCAGACCATCCTCACTATGTCTGTCGGTTGAACAAAGCTCTTTATGGCTTAAAGCAAGCTCCCAGAGCTTGGTTTCATCGTTTTACTACTTTTCTGCTTACACAGGGTTTTAAAGGCAGTCGCTCGGACACTTCCATGTTTGTGTATTCTTCTGGATCAGATATGGCTGTTTTGTTACTTATGTTGATGACATTCTCTTGACAGCTTCCAGCAATCATCTCCTCACTACTATTATTCAATCGCTGAAAGGAGCTTTCGCAATGACGGATCTTGGTCCAATCAGCTATTTCCTTGATATTTCTGTTGCTCCTCACTCTGGTGGTTGGTTTTTACACCAACGCAAGTATGCTGAGGAGTTGCTTGCTCGCAGTCATCTCACCGATGCCAATCCCATTGCAACTCCACTTGCTCCGGCTTTTCAATTTTCGGTTGATGAGTCTCTGCCTTTTCACAATCCGACTTTCTATCGGAGCTTGGTGGGTGCATTACAGTATCTTACTTTCACCAGATCGGATATTCATTATGCGGTTAATCTTATCTGTCAACATATGCATGATCCTCGTGAGTAGCACTTTCAGGCAGTCAAACGCATTCTCCGTTACATTAAGGGCACACTTCACTATGGTACATATCTCCGTGCTGGCCCCCTTGATCCCCTTGTTACATATTCCGATGCTGATTGGGCTGGATGCCCTACTACTCGCTGCTCTACGACTGGTTTTTGTGTTTTTCTGGGTTCATCCCTAGTTTCCTGGTCTTCCAAGAAACAATCCACTGTGTCTCGATCTTCTGCTGAGTCTGAGTATTGTGCTATTGCCTCTGCGTTGGCTGAATCCGTCTGGTTGGAGAATCTTCTGACTGAACTTCAAGTCAAGCTCTCACATCGCCCGGTCATCTTGTGTGATAATGTTTCTGCTACATACCTAGCTGCAAATCCGGTTAATCATGCTCACACCAAATATATTGGTCTAGACATTCATTTTGTTCGTGAACATGTTGCTGCTGGTGTTCTTCAGGTCCTTCATATTTCCTCACAGTCCCAGCTTGCGGATGCCTTTACCAAA